GTTTAGGTTTGTCTTTTCTGGAGAATTAATGTGTGCCTGGCTTCTTTCACCTAGCGTTGTTGTTTTTGAGGTTCATCCCTGTTGGAGGATCAAGTACATTCCTGTATATTTCTGAACAAGAACTCTGCTGTATGGGTCTGTCACATTCTGTTCACCCACTGACCGGTTTTGATGGACACATTGTTTTTACTTTGCGGTTACCATGAGGAGTGCTCCTGTGGACGCTCATGTACAGGTGTCTGTGTGGACATATATTTTCATTTTCCTTGAGAGGGAGATTGCTGGGTCTCTGTTTAACATGCTGAGAAACTGAGATTGTTTTCTGAAGTAGCTGCACCACTTTGCACTCCTGCCGTGATGGGTGAGGGCTCCGCTTTCTCCGCGTGCTCACCAGTGCTTGTTACAGCCCGTCTTTCTCACTGGAACCATCCTAGTGGGTGTGAAGTGGCATCTCACTGTGGCAGTCATTTTCACTTCCTGATGATAATGAGCACCTTCTCCTGTGTTTTTTGTTCATACGTATTTTTATTTCCAAATCCTTTGACCATTTTTTATGGTTAAAGGTTAAATTGTTATTACGGAGTTTTAAGAGTTCGTCATGTATTCTGGATACAAGTCTCTTTATCATATACCTGATTTGCAAATATTTTCTCCCGTTCTGTGGATTGTCATTTCACTTTCTTGCTTGTGTTCTTTGAAGTATGAAAATTTTGAATTTTGATGAAGTCTAATGTATCTTTTGTTATTGCTTCTCTTTTGGTGTTACATCTAAGAATCCATTGCCTAGTCCAAGGTTACAAAGGTTTACTCTTGTGCTTTTTTCTAAGAATTCTATTGTTTTGGCTATTATATTTAGGCCTGTGGTTCCTTTTGTGTTCGCTTCTGTGAATGATATGTGAAATGGGTCCAAATTCTTTTTTGGGATGCGGATATCCAGTTCCATCAGCAACATTTGTTGGAAAGACTTGTTTCCCCATTGAATTGTCTTGTCACCCTTGTTGAAAACCAGTTGCCTGTAAATGTCAAGGCTTGTTTCTGAACTCTGAATTCTATTTCAGTGATCCATATGTGTCACCTTATGCCA